TTTAAAGTGACGAGAAACGTACTGACTGTGGAATTACTGTGTACTAAAAACTTGCATCGAGAAAGAATAACATGGTTTAATCAAGAAAGGACTTGTATTGCTGAAGTTGCTCGGAAAGAATTTCTACCGGAAATTAACGAACAAGCAGATACATAACAATAAGTTAAAGTTTTATAAAGTACGCCTATATACAAGTGTATTTACACATTTCGTTGTCTACGATTACAATTCGTTTGAATTGTGCTAGAAATGTTGTATTTAAAGAAGTACTGTTACAATAAAAATACTAATTTGTCCGGAAATGTTTTGCGGGTCTCTGCTAGTGTTGTATTATATGGTGAATGGCTATTTATCTGCGGGTCCATTCCTTCTTCGCTGTTATTGTAAAAAAGAAAAAGTAATAAAATAACATAAATAAATAAAAATGAGTAGTGCTAACTATAACTGCTGTACTCTAGTCCATCATTTCAAAATTAGACACGGCTGGCACACATATCTTTAGTGTAACTTTGTATTTCATAGTTAATTTATTGCACTATCCACTCTACATTCATTTATGCTTTATAAACAAAGTTTCTCTGTTGTGGTTGTGAAGAATCTACTGAAAACGTTCAGCTACGTTCACGCCCTTCTAACAAGATCAAATACTTAGTTGAAATTTCTCATTTAACGTTAGATATATTCGCATGCTCGTTGAACGACTATAGGGGTAAAACATTCCAAATTAGTGTAGAAGAGACCGGGGCTTGGTGGCTACAGGGGCAGGTTGACACTATACCAATAACTTTCACATGCTGAAGTTCGTAGTCGTTATATCATAACTGCTAACACAGCCAAACATACATCACTTGCTGTGATAGTTTCATCTGTGATGTTACGTATTAGAATTTCAAATAGTCTCAAACTGATTTAACTGATCATTTAATTTAGTAGTTAAATTGTACTTTGGATTTATCAGTTAAGTAAAAGCCGATATATGGTCAGTTTATGATATTTGCCAACAAGATTGA